GCTGACTGCAGCCTCGAACTCCTGGGATCAAATGATCCTCCTACCTTAGCCTCCCAAGTAGTTGGGATTACAGGAGCAAGCCACTGTGCCTGGCTCTCTTTTCACTTTCTTGATGACAACCATTACAGCACTTATGTTTCAAATTCTCATCACGTCCAATTTATCTACTTTTCTTCTGTTGCTTGTGCTTTCAGTGTCTGATCTAAGAATCCTTTGCCATGCTGCCTTAATTACATGGCTTTGTAGTAAGCTTTGAAATAAAAAAAATTTGAGTCTCCCTACTTTGTTATTTTTCAAGACTGTCTTGGCTACTCTAGGTCCCTTATAATTCCATATGAAGTTTTAATTTTTTTTTTTTTTTTTTTTTAGAGACAGGGTCTTACTATGTTGCCCAGGCTAGAGTGCAGTGGCTATTCAAAGACACAATCCCGCTACTGATCAGCATAGGAGTTTGACCTGCTCCATTTCCAATCTGTGTTGGTTCACCCCACCTTAGGCAACCCAGTGGTCCCCTGCTCCTGGGAGCCCGGAACTCCTGGGCTCAAGCCCTCCAGCAGTCCTCCTGCCTCAGCCTCCCAAGTAGCTGGGACTACAGGTGCAGGCTATGGTGCCTGGCTCTATATGAATTTTAAATCAGTTTGTCAATTTCTACAAAATCAGCAGCTGGGATCCTAATAGGGATTGTGCTTAATCTGTAGACCAATTTGCAGAGTATTCCATCTTAATAATATTAAGTCTTCTGATTCATGAACATGGCATGTCTTTCCATTTATTTACATCTTCTTTCATTTCTTTCAATGTTTCGTAGTTTTCAAAGCGTAAGTTCTGCATTTATTTATTGAGATGGAGTTTCGCTCTTGTTGCCCAGGCTGGAGTGCAGGGGTGAGATCTTGGTTCACTGCAACCTCTGTCTCCCAGGTTCAAGTGGTTCTCCTGCCTCTGCCTCTCGAGTAGCTGGGATTATCGGTGCCCGCCACCACGCTCAGCTAATTTTTGTATTTTTAGTAGAGACGGGGTTTCACCATGTTGGCCAGGCTGGTCTCAAACTCCTGACTTCAGGTGATCTACCCACCTTGGCCTCCCAAAGTCTGTGACGACGCCGGCCTTCTGCACTTCTTTTGTTAAATTTATTCCTAGTTATTTTATTGTTTTTGATGCTAAGTGGAAGAATTTTTAATATTTCATTTTAGTATTGTTCACTGCAAGTGTATAAAAATATTATTTTTTAATATATTGATCCTGGATTCTCCAACCTTGCTGAACTTGTTAGTTCTAATAGAGGATAACCTAGGATTCTCTACGGACAAGATCATGTCGTCTGCAAACAGAGGCAGTTTACTTCTTCCTTCCCGATATAATAAATAAAATATTTATTTATTTATTTATTTTATTTTTTTATTTTTTTTTGAGACAGAATTTCGCTCTGTCACCCAGGCTGGGGTGCAGTGGCCGGATCTCAGCTCACTGCAAGCTCCGCCTCCCGGGTTCACGCCATTCTCCTGCCTCAGCCTCCCGAGTAGCTGGGGCTACAGGCGCCCGCCACCTCGCCCGGCTAGTTTTTTGTATTTTTTTTTTAGTAGAGACGGGGTTTCACCGTGTTAGCCAGGATGGTCTCGATCTCCCGACCTCGTGATCCGCCCGTCTCGGCCTCCCAAAGTGCTGGGATTACAGGCTTGAGCCACCGTGCCCGGCCATAAAAGATTTATTTAATTTAAAAGTTTATTTTTAAACTTTTACATAAAAATTTATTTAAATTAAAATAAATTTAATTTATTTTTCTTGCTTAATTGCCCGGTCTAGAGCATCCAGCACTATGTTGGGCAGGAGTGGAGCGGGAACACAGCCTTGTCTTGTTGCTGATCTTAGTGGGAAAATCCAGTCTTTCACCATTAAATATGCTATCTGTGAGTTTTTCATCTATGCTCTTTACCATGTTGAGGTAGTTTCCTTCTATTGTTTGCTATTATTCCTTCATTTGTAGAGTGTTTTTTTTTTTAATCATGAAAGAGTGTTACATTTTGCTAACATGTTTTTCCTGCACCTACTGAGAAAACCATGTGGTTTTCTCTTTTATTCTATTGACATGATATATTATATTGATGTGCAGTTGTTTTTTTTTTTTTTTTTTTTTTGAGACGGAGTCTTGCTCTGTCGTCCAGGCTGGAGTGCAGTGGTGTGATCTTGGCTCACTGCAGCCCCTGCCTCCCGGGTTCCAGCAATTCTCCTGCTTCAGCCTCCTGGATAGCTGGGATTACAGCCATGCACCACCATGCCCAGCTAATTTTTGTATTTTTAGTAGAGACAGGGTTTTGCCATGTTGGTCAGGCTGCTCCTGAACTCCTAACCTCAAGTGATCCGCCCACCTCGGCCTCCCAAAGTGCTAGGATTACAGGTGTGAGCCACCGCGCCTGGCCTGATATGCAGATGTTAAACCAACTTTTCATTCCCCAGAAGACACTGACTTCCTCATGGGTACTGCATTCAGTCTGGTTGTAGTTTGTTTTTTGTTGAGGATTTTTGTGTCCATGTTCCTAAGAGATCCTGGTTGGTAGTTTTCTTTTTTTTTTTTTTAGAGGCAGACAGGGTCTTGCTCTGTCGCCAAGACTGGAGTACAGTAGCACGATTATAGCTCAGTGGAGTCTTGAATTCCAGGGCTCAAGTGATGCTTATGCCTCATCCTTCCAAAGTGTTGGGCTTACAGTCGTGAACCACTGCGTTTGGTCATTTTCATTTCTTCTGATGTCTTTTGTTTGGTTTTGTTATCAGGATAATACTGGCCTCATACAATGAGTTGGAAGTACTCCCTCCTACTCTGTTTTTTAGAGTAGTTTGGGAAGAATTTCCTCTAGCCCTGTCAAGCAATAATCTACTTTCTGTTCTATGGATTTACCTGTTCTGGACCTTTTATATGAATGGAATCATACAATATATGTCCTTTTGTGTCTGGCTTCTTTTACTTAATGTTTTCAAGGTTCATCCATGTTGTTGTATGGACCAGTACTTCATTCCTTTTTATGGCCAATTAACATTGCATGGAAGGACGTTTTGTTTATCCATTCATGAGCTAGACATTTGAGTTGTTTCCACTATTTTGGCTGCTATGAATAATGTTGCTATGAACATGAGTGTACAGTTGTTGCATGAATATACTTTCCATTCGCTTGGGTATACACTTACGAGTGCAACTGCTGGGTCACAGAATCACTGTTGAACTTTTTGAGGAACTGTCAATCTGTTTTCCAAAGCAACTGCATCACATTACATTCCCACAAGGGTTCCAATTTCTCCACATCCTTAATAACACTCATTATTGTCTTCTTGATTCTAGTCATCCTAGTGGGTGTGAAATGGCACCTTTTTGTGGTTTTGATTTGTATTTTCCTAATGACTAATGATGCTGAACATCTTTCCGTGTACGCTTATTGGCCATTTGTGTGTCTTCTTTGCAGAAATGTCTAACAACTACATTGTTATTTTAAAATTGAATTATTAGCCTTTATTAAGTTACAATAGTTCTTTATAGATTCTGGCTATTATACCCCTAACAGATATGTGATTTGCTAACATTTTCTCATTCTGGGAGTTGTCTTTTCACTTTTTTTTTTTCCTTTTGGTAGAGACAGGGTCTCACTATGTTGTCCAGGCTGGTCTTGAACTCATGGCCTCAAGCAGTTCTCCTGCTCTGGCCTTATAGGTATAAGTTCTGGGATTATAGGCATAAGCCACCATCCCCAGCTCACTTTCTTGACAGTGTCCTTTCAGCCTAACAGTTTTTAAACTTTGGGGAAGTCCAGTTTATCTATATATTTTTTTCACTTTGGTTTTTGCGTTTTTGGTGTCATGTCTGAAAAACCACCCAGATTCAGTCATGAAATTTTAAATCTGTATTTTCTTCTAAGAGTTTTACAGTTTTAGACATCATATTTAGGTCTTTGATCCATTTTTAATTTTTGTAAACGGTATGAGGTGGAGATTCCATGAACTCTTTAAAACCCCATTAATTCCTTTTTTTAAAAAATTTGAGATGGAGTCTTCCTCTATCGCCCAGGCTGGAGTGCAGTGGCGTGATCTCAAATCAGTGCAACCTCTACCTCCTGGGTTCAGTTCAAGCCATTCTCCTGCCTCAGCCTCCTGAGCAGCTGGGATTACAGGCGCCTGCCACCACACCATGCCTGGCTCTAGAAGCCTGATTTTTAAGAAGTTTTTAAAACAGGCTGGGCGCAGTGGCTCACGCCTATAATCCCAGCACTTTGTGAGGCTGAGGCAGGCAGATCACTTGAGGTCAGGGGTTCCTGACCAGCCTGACCAACATGGCAAAACCCTGTCTCTACTAAAAATACAAAAATTAGCTGGGCGTGGTGGCACATGCCTGTAATCCCAGCTACTCAGGAGGCTGAGACAGGAGAATCGCTTGAACCCAGAAGGCAGATGCTGCAGTGAGCTGAGATCGAACCACTGAACTTCAGCCTGGGTGACAGAGGTAGACTCTGTAAAAAAAAAAAAAATTCAGACAAAGCAAGACAGGGAGTCCTTTTATCCAACTCAGTTTGGTAAAATAAGGTGCAATTCCTTATAAATATTTTGAGTTATTACCTCTAAAAAGAACATTAAAAACTGGTTTTGTTTCATCTATAAAATGACAAAATTATCTCCAATCTTTGTGGGATTCCATACAAGGCACGGATGCCACAGAACACAGCTTTTATAGTAGTGATGCAGAAAAAAATAAATTCAAAACACAGCGGTGATTTGTACATATAAAGTCCTCAACATCATTTCTCTCTCAGAGACACACAGTGAAATGGGGTTAAGATAATTACCCTGAATAGGGTCCATAAATAGACACTGTGCAGAAGAGCCCAATGTTATGGAAACCTACAAGCTGTAAATGAATATCCCTGCTACACTTGGCATGCTAGTTGTGACAGCCAAATCATGCTAGTTATGATAGTCAAATTTTAGGAAATTCCAAACACTGTGGCACATAAGAAGGTACTCACAGGAGAGAGCTTCTGGATGAGGTCATGGGCAACATGGACAAGGTTCTTGTCTTCATGGAGACATTTCTGAAACTTTTTGCTCTCCTCATCTTCTAACAGATCAAAATCAATGGCAGCATCCAGTAAAGCCTGAATTAACCCCTTCCAGGATTTGAGGGCTGGAACTTGAGGCGCAACTGCAGCACTAATGCCTGTTCCAATCACTAGCACAAGTTCTCGAGGCTTCTTAGTTTTTAAGCTTGGAAGCAGCTTCCTATAAAAGCAAAACAAATGAGAGGAATGGAACATCCCATAGATATGAGGCACAGAGACTGTCTGACTAAGGTTATAGCTTTTAGCTAACTTTTATAGTTGCAAAGAAGATCAATATCAGTTTTTGACACTTTTCCAAAGCAGTTTAAAGAAAACAACCAGAATATTATGTCAGTGCTTGCTGAAAAACAAGTCATAAACCTATTTCAGGAATCCCAAAACCAATCTTAAAATCAGTTTTCTCCTTCTTAGTCCTCTCAACCTAAGAAATTCCACTAATATTAGGAAAAGATCCAAATAGATTACAGCTCAGCTGAGTTCTGCCAACTAAATTATATTTTAAACCAATATTAAATTTCAAAAGAAGACATTTGATTTGTACTCTAGAAAAAGAGAAAAGAACCCCAGGACAAATTAAGTTCCTATTACTGAGAAATGTAAAACACAAGGGGAAAGAAAGGCAATAAAAAATTTAACTCGGAATTTTGTAAACATTAACCTCAGGCAAAAAAAAAAAAAAAAAAGTGGCCAATAGAATTCTAAAAACACAGGCGCCCTATATATCTAAATAAAGACTTAGCTATTCAAGGGACATGACAAAAGGTGAAAAACATTCCTTTCTTACCATGATAAGCAGAGACAGACTTCTCTGTTCTGAGGCCCATATGTGAGATAGCATGGGTACTAGTTTTTGTTTTTGTTCCCCTCTCTTTCATTCTGGAGACTATCCCCGCTTGAAATATGTTCCTTCACTTTAATTTTTGCTGATGGTATGTTCCCTTCCCCCGAAAATGGATTCTCCCCAACCTTTCTGTCTAAATAATAAAATGGAGAGGATCAGCATTTTGGCATAACCCAAGAAAGGAATAGCACTTTCAAGCCTCGGGAAGCTTCGTTTTGGGGACACAGCCTCTAAAACTGCTTTCCCTATCCTGAGCTTCTGCATTTAGTCACTCAACAAACATGAAAAACCGAGGCCGGGGGCAGTGGCTCACACCTATAATCCCAGCACTTTAGGGGGCTGAGGTGGGTGGATTACTTGAGGTCAGGAGTTCAAGACCAGCCTGGCCAACATGGTGAAACTCCGTGTCTACTAAAAATACAAAAATTAGCTGGGTCTGGTGGCGCACACCTGTAGTCCCAGCTACTCGGGAGGCTGAGGCAGGAAAGAAAAACCTGTATGTACCAGGCAGTACAGGAGTCACTAGTGATGTATCCAGGAACAAAATGGAGTCCCTGATCTTGAAAGGTTAGTCTACTAGAAAAGACATTAATAACAGATGTTAGAAGCAAATGATGAAAAATGAGTTTCAGTTCAGAGCAATCAAGATAGTGAAGCATACACAAATCCACATACACAAATATACATGCACATAGAAAATTTCTAGGATTCACAAGATCTATAAACAGTGGTTAAATGAGGATGGGGAGAATAAGGACTTTTTACTTTTCATTTTATACTGTTGTACTGTATGATTTTTTAAATATATAACATATAGATTCAAACTATAATTCTTCCTAATTAAGACTTTCAATTCAGCTAAGTGTAGTGGTTCACGCCTGTAATCTCAGCACTTTAGGAGGCTGAGCTTGAGCCCAGGAGTTCGAGATCAGCCTAGGCAACTTAGTGAGAACCCATCTCTACCAAAAAAAAAAAAAAAAAAAAAGAAAAGAAAAAGAAAATTAGGCATGTCCCAGCTAAGTGGGAGGCTAAGTTCACAGGGGGATCACTTGAGCCCAGGAGGAGGTTACAGTGAGCTGTGTTTGTGTCACTGCACTCCAGCCTGGGTGACAGAACAAGACCCTGTCTCAAAAAAAAAAAAAAAAAAAAAAAAACTTCCAGTTAAAAACAAAACATTTAACAATTGCGTTTTATTACCGGTTCTTTGTAAACCACTAAATAACAGTTATTATTATTATTATTATTTTTTAGCAGGTATACATACCTAAAAAGTAGGTTAGGTAAAGATGACAGCAGACAAGAGGTCAAAGGGCAACAGAATTTTACAAGTTGTAATGCTAAGGCTGAGTCCCTTGGTAGAATTTTGGGAATGTTCACATACATCTGAAGGTAGAGGGACTGGTGGGGCTAAAACAGGAGAATCGGTTACAAGCCTTTAAAGGTTGCAACTTTAAGCAGACTAGAGGTTTCCCTTCTGCAGAGGTTGACCAGAGGACTGTATCTGAGAACACTGCACGCAGCTGAGGCTGCCTCTGGGGAAAGAGAGTTGGGGGAAATCTTATATTTTATACACAGACTTTTCCCCAGAGGCAGCTTTTCAGACTCTAGGAATCAACCCTGTACCTGCACCCCTATCTCCCATCCAGTTAGGAAATGAGGAATCCCTATCCCCCATCCAGTTAGGAAATGAGGAATCCCTATCCCCCATCCAGTTAGGAAATGAGGAATCCCTATCCCCCATCCAGTTAGGAAATGAGGAATCCCTATCTCCCATCCAGTTAGGAAATGAGGAATCCCTATCCCCCATTCAGTTAGGAAATGAGGAATCCCTATCCCCCATCCAGTTAGGAAATGAGGAGGATTCCTCTTTCAGGAAAATGGCCAGTATGAGACGAAAAACCTGCAGATTCTGATAGGTGAGAATTCCTTAACTCTACGTAGAGTCTGGGACCAGGCTCCTTACGTACACGCAGATTCTCCAACTGGCTTTTTTTTTGAGATGGAATCTCACAATCTCGGCTCACTGCAACTTCCGCCTCCCGGGTTCAAGCGATTCTCTTGCCTCAGCAACCTGAGTAGCTAGGACTACAGACACGCACTACCACGCCAAGCTAATTTTTGTATTTTTAGTAGAGACGGGGTTTCACCAGGTTGGCCAGGCTGGTCTCAAACTCCTGACCTCAAATGATCTGCCCGCCTTGGCCTCCCAAAGTGGTGGGATTACAGGCGTGAGCCACCGCGCCCGGCCTCTTCCATTGGCTTTTTAGTGTTTTCTCTTAAAAATGGGCAGACAAACAAGGGTCACCTCACATTTGAGGAAAGCCCCTGACATAACAGTTATACCAAACAAACTAGCAGGTAGAGAGAAATCTGAAGGACAGAAGAGATAGTATGGGAAGGAGAAAAAAATTTTAAAAGGAAACAATGACATCCTCACATAGATTTTTAAACATTGTCCATGTGGGGTGGCTCATGCCTGTCATCCCAGCACTTTGGGAGGCCGAGGCAGGTGGATCACTTAAGGTCAGGTGTTCAAGATCAGCCTGGCCAACATGGTGAAACCCTGTCTTTATTAAAAAAATAAAATAAAAATTAGTCGGGTGTGGTAGTGCACATTTGCAATCCCAGCTACTCAGGAGGCTGAGGCAGGAGAATTGCTTGAACCTGGGAGGCAGAAGTTGCAGTGAGCTGAGACTGCACCATTGCACTCCAGCCTGGGCAACAGAGTGAGACTCCATCTCAAAAAAAAAAAAAAAAAAAAAAAAATGCATCTGTGAAACAGAGTGCTATGAAAAATGAACAAACAGAAAGACTTCACAAATTAAAAATATAGCAACAGAAATGTTTAAATCCATAAGATAAAACAGAGAACCTCCGAGAAAGCAAAATTTTAAAACACGAAATGGGGGGAAAAAAAAATCAAGAAACACGTAAGAAAATTAGAGACTTAATACAAGAAGTCCAATATCTGAAAAACAAGAGTTTAAAAAAAATAGGGAATAGATAAAACATTGTAATGGAAAGTATCAAAAAAGTAATACAAGTCAACTTCTCCAAAGTGAAGGTACTACCTTGCCCAGCCTTTAAAGAGGCCCTGTGACCCGTCTCCAAAACAATACCGTGTCCTGATCCACTATGGAAGAAATGAACCACGATCAGTGACAACCGCACTACATGAACAATTAAAAAAAAAAAAAAAAAAAAAAAAAAAAAAGAGCTGCCCCGTGTCCAATTCATATGAGAAGACACATCACTGTGAAATTTCAGACTACTGAAAATAAAATAATGATCCTTATAAGCTTCTAATGAACAACAACAACAAAAACAAAACAGGGAAAGAGGTCATATAATACAAAGGATTGGGAATCAGAACAGAGTGGCTATTTTGGCAGGAATACTTAGACATTAGCAGAGAATGCATGAGAGATACCAAAGATTCTATACTCAGTTAAACCATCAAATGAATATAAGTGTATGATAAAGACATTTTCAAATAGGTCCAAAAAGTTTTCTCCTATGGGTCCTTACTTAGGAGGCTATGCAAGGATACGCTTCAGGAAAACGAAAGAGTGCACCAAAAAAGAAGACACGAGATTCAGCAAACAGAGAATCAATACAGGAGAGACGTAAAGGAAATTATCAGGACGATGGGAAAGGGAAATAGCAAGTATCAGCAATGCAACAGAGGCCTGGAAAACAAGTGTCCAGAGTGGACTAGTGTCCAGAGGGAAGAATCCATGACATGAACTAGCAAGTTATCGGTGTGTTTCAGTATAGCTAGGAGATTTATTCTTCTGTCAGAGCATGTGAGAACACACTGAAAGCAAACAAACAAAAAAGACAGTCTTTAACGGCATAAGCAAAAAAAATGGGCAAGAAAGGAAATATGATCGTCACGCATTAGGCTCAGCTACGAATACTATTTATACAGTCATAATAAATGTAAATATTAAAAGTGGATTGAACCAAACACTGTGATACAAACATACAAGAACATGGGGAGAGTGTGTGGAGTGGCAATCCAGGGGGAGGAGTCATGACAGCAAAGCAGTCCTTATATTCCATACTCGGAAATCAACAAAACTGAAAAACTAAAAAGCAGCAATATATATAGTATTTTAAAACATGGATGTCAACATTAGAAGAAACAGATAAAGCTGAAAGTAATTATCTCTGAAGAAGGGTGGACTCTGAAATACTGATTTTAAAAACTATGTACCTGTATTGCCTTTGATAAAAAATAAAAATTAAACCCAAAATAAAAATAATTTAATTTTTAGTATGAAGGTCAATACTGATTAGTGAAAACAACTGATATAAAAGGTATAAGTTGGCTACTTTTCTTTCTCTCCCACTAATGGTAATTTACTCTGCTCTCTGATTCCCTTTTCTTGTTTACCTGGGCTTTTTGGTGGGGGGTGCGCCATCACTGAAGAATCCAAAAATCTCGTCTATATCAGAGGCCTGGCTCCCTGTAGAAGCCATCCAGTTTCTAAAATAGATTAAACACCATGGACCACAATTAGATCTGTAAAATATACCATTCAAAATAGCACATACATTGAACAGTTTTAAAAAGCTGTATACCCTTAAAGGTGCTTTGGAGGTACCCCCTACTTAACGGAAATTTGTTAATTAATGCACATTCCAAACAAGGAACTCAATTAAATTAGTCTAAAAGACTATTTGGTGTTCCATACTACCATCTCGCTTCTGTTTCTGAAGGCCTGCCCCCAAGTTCCCACCAAAAACAGTGTCAACTCATGTCAATTACTGGCCCTCACTTTGTAGAACTTAAGAAAAACCAGTTATTCTTCCACAAGATGGGTTTGCGGAAGACTCAGGATAAAAACCACCCACAGATAAGTGTATTAATAGCCCCCAATTATCCATTTACTCTCAGCTGAAGAAATTACTGAGTCAAGAATAGGACAGTCAATACTAATTTGCTGAATGACATTCTCTGTTGTTGGACAATGGTGACCTCGTAGCCAGTAGGACATGTCTCTCTAACTGAACATGAAGTGGACTTAAATCAAGCCACTGTGATAACTGGTAAAGGTTATTATCAAGCAGATGTATGAAAAATGGCCAATTATGTTCGGGTGCTGGAATAACTGGCAAAAGTAAGTAATTACCACAGATTAGAATGAATACTATAAAGTTCTAACTGCTCAAACTTCAGCAAACTAGTTAAATCTAAAGGCTGTGAATTTAAAAATAGCAATAGTATTTTAAATACACACACAATATAGAAGACAACATACTACCACCGTTTGGGATGTTTTAGTACATGCCATTGCCAACACATACAACTGAATTACTAATAATTACTGGAAGTTTACGGTTTTGTTAGAAAGTCCTTTTCTTTTCTTTTTTTGAGACTGCGTCTTGCTCTGTTGTCCAGGCTCCAGTATGGTGGTGCCATCTTGGCTCACTGCAGTCTCGGCGTCCTGGGCTCAAGCCATCAACCAACCTCAGCCTCTCCAGTACCTGGGACTACAGGCACGTGCTACCACATCTGGTGAAATTTTGTATTGTTTGTAGAGAGGGAGTTTTGCCATGTTGCCCAGCTGGTCTCTAACTCTGGAGTTCAAGTAATCTTCTAGCCTCGGCCTCCCAAAATGTTGGGGTTACAGGAATGAGCCACTGCATCCGGCCCAAAAAAGCCTTTTTCTTTATTAAAACATTAAGTTTCTCAATTAATTTTTTGTGGTAAACAGAAGGCTCACTTCCTCACCCCATAGTCCATCACACATAGTGGAATTCTTCTTTAATATCATAATCATAAAGAAAATAGAAACAATAAAATCATAGTAGTGAGTTAGAAAGTAGATCATGTTTCTAGTCAAATCTTTTGATTCTGTTGATGAGAAAGCTGGAGCTCAGGAGAAGACGGATGAGTCACTAATCTCAGTAAATCCTGCCTTAACTCAACCATGTGGGTTTTTTCTTTTTCTTTTGAGACGGAGTTTCGCTCTTGTTGCCCAGTCTGGAATGCAATGGCGCAATCTCGGCTCATTGCAACCTCTGCCTCCTGGCAGTTGCTCCCTTCAAGCGATTCTCCTGCCTCAGCCTCCCAAGTAGCTGGGATTACAGACATGCGCCACTACGACCGGCTAATTTTGTATTTTTTGTAGAGACGGGGTTTCTCCATCTTCATAAGGCTGGTCTCAAACTCCTGACCTCAGGTGATCTGCCCGCCTCAGCCTCCCAAAGTGCTGGGATTACAGGCGTGAGCCATCACGCCCAGCCAGGATGTTAGTTAAAAGTATGTATGTTCTTGAAAATAAAGTTAATTAATTAAAAAAAAAAGTTTGTTTCTAGGCTCTACTCCAAAATTACAGAATGAGATTCTCCAGAATCTTCAGAATCTTCCTTCAAACAGGAAACACCTAAATAAGAAGCAAACTTAATTTTTCTACAATGCGACAATTTTGTTAAATATAGGATGCACATGAGGTATACCATCAAGCCATCTTTCCTTAAGTGTAATAACTTATTACAGTCTAATGACTTCCCAGTTTGCTTATACCAATAGCCAGGTTTTAACTGTCCTTAAAATATTTTTATGAAGTTTTAATTCATGTGAATCACTTCCGATTCTAAAAGTTAACACTCTAGAATGGTGAACTAGGGATAGAATGTGTTTACTTCTTCCACACACACGACAACCCATCCGTTTGGGATATACACAAGGAAAAAACTTAGGTGCTTAAGTTCTTTTCTTAAATATGGTTCTACAAACCCATCATCTAAACAGATTACATCCAAGTAAAAACACTATATTGAGAGAGATGAAAGTAAAATGTAGAGGGAATAACGCTTATTAAGTTTTGAAGATGGATATCTTCAGAATTCAATGCTCAATTCAGTTACTAAACCAGTTTACAAGCTCTTAACTACGTGCTATGGACTACTTATAAACATTAACTCATTAATCTGCACAACACTACGAGGCTATTGTTACCTTATTTTACAGACGAGAAAACTGAGGCACAGAAAGATCGGGTACGTGGTAGTACCAGTATTCAAACCATGGCAACTCTGCCTCCCAAGTCCAAGTTCTTAACTACACTATTGCTAAACAGGAAATGCTCATTGGAACATTTCAGATTTCAGATTTTTTGGATTAGGGATGCTCAACCGTTAAGTATAATGCAAATATTCCCCAAAAAACCCAGAAATCCAAAACACTTCTTTCTGGTTACAAGCATTTCAGATAAGGAATAATTAACCTGTATTAACTTTTCAGCCTTAAAAAAAAAAAAAAAAAAACTTAAAGTCCAAAACTATCAACAAAGGAAGTGCCTGCATTCTAGAAAGCAGATTTACCTGAAACAATCCCAAGTAATCCTTAATAGTTGCTTCGTAACTAGGCACTCCATTCATGCAATCTTGGCAGTCAACTACATTCGGAAGCTGGGAAAACTACTTTCTCCAATAGCAAGCACTATTTGTTATATACTTCTCACCACCATTTATCCACCAGAGCCTAGATCTGTCCTACCATTTTCTCCTGGAAATTATGTAAGATCGTTTTTGCTGGATTCTATTTCTGCCAGATGGTCAATTCATGACATCTAGACCTGAATACTAAGCTTTCTGACTTATTTCTTTACACAGTCAACTTTTCTGAAGGTCCATTCCATCTATTACTTTAAAAAATTAAATACAGCCAATCGCTTCTGACTGAGAATGTTTAGGGTCTTATTTAGGTACTGAATGAGACGTAGCTCAGTATGCCTACATTATATCCAATCATATACTCATCCTGTTTTCTAACAGAGAAACATCTTTTCTTCAGCCTAAAGGATGCCTCACATGATACAATCTCACATGTATACCCCAGTGGCATATAAGCATAAACCATACTTTATTCCTTCTAGAGTAGTGTTTTCAGGAAAAAAAAATCAATTTTAGCATGTACCCTAAACAATATGCAGTTCTTGCTAAAGAGTTTCAAAGCTAACTTCCCAATATGCATCAACTAGTTCACACTTTAATTTTTTTTATGTGATCATGGTTTGAGTTTTCATTTTTGTGGGACTTGCTATGTATAGCAAAAGTGGAAAATGTTTTTCTGTCACAAGAAAACAAAAGTCAATGACCTGTGGCAGTGTCTTCATTACCTTAATCACTGCTAAGCCACTGAGAAATCCTTCAAGGCCAATAGAGTACAGCAAAATAAAAGTCAGATACTTGGTAAAAGCTGAGAAAAGTAACAGCAACCTCATTAATGGAAATGTTAAGGCTGAAGTCTTCATATGAGACAGAACACTTGTACTCTGAAACCTGTCAGCTTGGCAGGAAATATAATGCTTCTATTTCTGGTGGATGAAAAAGGGAAAAGGGCGAGTGTTCTAGAAAAAATCCAGAAGAAACATAGTAAAGGGACAAGAGAAAAGGAACTGGTTATCCAAATGAAATTAAGTTTGCACACAGCAGAGGACCTGTGGACTTGAAAACATCAAAGAATCCCAGCAGCTCTTGTTTTCATAGCATCTTGGTGCTAAAAAGATAGCAAGCTCTAGGCTTCCCCTCACTTGAGAATCAGAGTGAGGTCTCCCAGCCCGCCTTCCTCATTCTGAGCTATGTTTCTCCTGTATGTCCAGTGCATAGCCCTCAACCCAAACAAGTGACATGCCAGAAGGAGCTCAGAGTAATACACTTGGGTACATTAGCAGACAAAATAAATCAAATGGAAAGAGAAATTCTAATGTTTTAAAAAGTATTTTTGCCTGGAAATAAAAGATATACAATTACCAGCTTGAGAAAGTGGTACGTTTCTTGCTGTAAAAGGATCAGAAAGCTTCCTCCACTGCTTTTTAAAAAATAAAAGTGACTGGAATAAAGAACGGTTTATTTCTCTAGCATAAATATAGCAAAGGGGTGACTGGAATAAAGAATGGTTTATTTCTCTAGCATAAACATAGCAAAGGGTTAACTTCATTTCTTAAGGGAAAAGAGTCATCCTCTGACTTGAGAAGAAACCAAACCTTTCTAATTGTGGCTTTTGGACTAATTCCAACGCATCTGGGTTTTTAGCAACGATCAGATTTGGGAGGCAGGGAAAGACGCCCGGTGTAAAGTACTACTAAAGAGTTCTCAACAACAAGCTTGTCAGGAGTGAACACATTAAATAAAATCCTAAAGACTTGGCTTGGGTAGTTGATGAATTCAGTTCCATATGTAGACTGCAGACTTTCCCATCAGTGGATAAAGCAAACTCACTGTTTCCTCCATCTCAGCACACAGAGAGACAGGAATCATGTCTAGCTGTGCCAAGATCTGATTCCTCTGTGGATCCCAGACTTGAAATATTTCCACTATCTATGGTGAACTTGATTGGCTCTTACTTTTATCCCTTAGCATGGCTGAGACCTTCTACCTTCTGTAGAAGGTAGATACAGATAAGATCTGTATCGCACTCATTTCCTGAACATGTGCCTTAACGGAGTCACTGAGGAAATGCCAGACTGATGCCACTTA